GATGCCGCCACCAACTCCAGCATTAACTCCACCCCTGCTCCGCCACCAACTGAACCGCCAACGCCACCTCCAACATGCCCCCGATGCCCCTCCGATGCCTCAATGCCTCCAAGACCGCCTCGCACTCCTCCACTAGCACCAGCACCGACTCCGCCGACAGCACCGATACCAGCCCCACCACCAACATTGCCTCGAGCACCCCTGATAGACCGCCTCCGATGGCGCCACCAGCACCGCTGCACGATCCGCCACCAACTCCAGCATTAACTCCACCCCTGCTCCCCACCCACTGAACCCCAACCCCCTCCAACATCCCCCGATGCCCCTCCGATGCCTCCAAGCCTCCGAGACCCCTCGCACTCCCCCACTACACCACCCAACTCCGCCGACACACCGATACCAGCCCACCACCAACATTGCCTCGAGCACCACCTGATAGACCGCCTCCGATGGCGCCACCAGCACCGCCAGCTGCACCGGCACCGATGCCGCCACCAACTCCAGCATTAACTCCACCCGCTGCTCCGCCACCGACTGAACCGCCAACGCCACCTCCAACATGCCCGCCGATGCCGCCTCCGATGCCTCCAATGCCTCCAAGACCGCCTCGCACTCCCCCACTAGCACCAGCACCAACTCCGCCGACAGCACCGATACCAGCTCCACCACCAACATTGCCTCGAGCACCACCTGATAGACCGCCTCCGATGGCGCCACCAGCACCGCCAGCTACAACAACACCACCTCCACGTACGATAGGACTGTTGTCTCCAGTAGCATCGTTCCGACCGCCCTGAGACGAGCTGAAACTGTGAGAACTGACCGACACGTCGCTATTCCTGCTGGTTGGAGTAGAGGATACAGGTAGGACGCCCGGTCGGTTGCTGTCCGGATTCGAGAGAGGTGCTGAACCCGCTCCGGAAGTGTTCGGTGCAGGTACAGACGTTGAAGCTCCAGCAGAAGCGCTTGGACTCGACGCAGGGGTCACCTTGTCTGGGCCCGTGGTCTTTAGGTCAGCGTCTTTATTCGAAAGACTGCTTTGTTGGGTCTGCTGGCTGTAGCTGCTATAGCTGCCAGCTTCTGCGAGCGACCCCATTACAGCCGCGACGAGTACGAGGTGAGAGATTATCTTGGTAGGGTTCATGTTTTGGACAACAAGACTAGCAGTAGGAGCCAAAAGAATGGAACTTGGACGGGATGGAGCGTAAACAACACTTGACTTTGCTGCTACTGCCGAGCGCAAAGAAAATCGGAAACTGGATGAGTACTAACCCAGGCCTTCTCCGATATTTTGGACCGCCAACGAAGACTGGTCATGCCAACTCGTCCGTCCGCATGTAGACACTGGTCATGCCACCTGTGCACATGTTGACTCGAGACATGCCAGCTGTGTGCCGTGGACACTTTCTCTACCTTCGGCATTACAGAAGCACTACTACCCTATTTCGACACGATTCAATCTTATGCCGCACGCTGTTCGAACATACCAGCTGCAAGCACAGGAGAGACACCGCATCGATCGTACCAGAAGCGCAGCACAACGACTAGAGCAACCGCATGAGCTGAAACGCAACTCATCACGGCTGACGAACACTCTTCAGAGCGCAAGTGTTGACCAGCCGGCTGTCCCGTAACACACATGGTACAGCAAAAGCTAGATAGACTTCACAGAGGCTTTCGCCAGCAAACAGGACTTCGGGACATGGTAATCCTTGATTATGTTGCGGTCACACACGTGCCCTGGACTTGGATGAGCAAGCTACAACACACAGAGCCACCAGAATGAAACAAGGAAGGACGCGGGGCAGTTTTGACGCGCACCGGTGTACGAATGATCGGTGTCGATGCAGCAAATTTATTTTCGCGGGAGAGGTAACTCCTGAGCAGCAAAGCGGACTCGCGTCTGATACAGGTGGTAGGTTTTTTGGAAACTATCAACAGACGCCGGAAATAGCTGAACACGAAAAAACGTTGGGGCACATATGGAGGCATTCTTGCGTGTGGACCTCTTCAGCATCTTATCCCATAGTGAGAAGGTGAGGTATATTCAGGTACGCGAACGACCCGCTGTATCCGGTATCTTATCTTATCCGATACAAGGTTACGAGACCATCGTCATTTGTGGTGATGCGAAAGAAATTGGATCGCAATGATTAGGCCGCTGAAACAGTTGGATACTGAGTCCTGGGACTGGAATCGTTTTGTACTGAGTCCTGGGACTGCCATTCATGCGTCTAGCCAGCGATGCGGAAATTTATGCATCATGACACGACGCAGCTGGTACATTGTGACCGAAGGTTGGATCAACGACCGTATCTGGCGTCCATACATTCCTAGCTGAATACGTTCGTTTTCCATCAGGCCGCACTAAAACGCACCGGTTCATTGTATTTTCTTCCTGTATGATCTGGTTTAGCTACGAGCGTGCGCACGTCGAGCACTACTCCTGAAGTTGAGGACACACGCGGGCTTCCCATATGATTTGACGATACACTTTTTGGTCAGTATTAGTCCATCACGTTAGGAGCTCGTGTTCGAACCAGAGATGGTGTCCGTTGTACATTAAAGTTTCTACCGTGAGACTTATCGGACACTGCTGCGTGATTAAGTCGTCGCTTAGCGGTTTTGGTGGTGCCTTTCCGTCGAAATAGCTAGAATTTGGCACTCCTGGCAAGATGTGTTGGGTGGCAGCTGGTCACGAGGTAGACGAGTCAGGTAACAACATTTACGAGTGGCGCAATACAACTCCTGTCTATAAACTCGACTATCCGCGCTAGTACCCTCGCAGTTTTCACACGTTGTAGTGTAGACACCCAATCTCTGCGCCGTACGCCGTAGTACTCGTCAAAGCTTGGTTGCCATACTGACACCTTGCTAAGGTTTGCGACTTCACCTGGACAAGTGGGCAGAATTGCCAACACCCCGGCCGTCCACGTGCAGCTGCCATGATCCCGTTGTTAATCGCCTGCAAACGATCTGGTAGCTCATCAGCTTATGTCTTAGCTTACGGCATATTAGCCTCTTTACTGTCTTGAAACTTGTTCTCTGGCCACACTTGCACACGCAGACAGTCGGACATTGTACACCCTGGTGGTGTGCGTCCTCAGATGCTTGTAACTGTGTGATTTTGTACGATTGCGCTCCGTGACTGGCCACGTTCTGACCGCTGTGTTTGTTCGTCGGTAGAGGTCTGGCTGCTTGCGTCTTGGTGTCAGTATAGGACTACCGGGTTATTAATGCGCTGCGGGATTTACGACATCTATGTTGCCCCGCCACCTTCCTGCTAGGAGGTTCACTGAGTGCAGCATAGACTGAGAAGTTTTGGTAGGGATACGAGGCGAGCACTAACTAGCTGCGCACAGGAGTCGTTATACGCGTAAGAAAGAACAATGTGTCGGGAGGTAAAATACTGATATCCCGATAGGACAATTGCTCACAACGTCTTGTTCAGACAGCGGGTGATGCAGAGCATCCACAATTCGGTCAAGTGTCAGTTTGTCTGGACGCCGGGCTGCCAATCATCTATGACGTCTTCTAAAATGTTTGCTAGCGCGGTTTGTATACGGGACGCGTGTTTGTCAATGTTACTGGGATAAACATGCGCTTGGGCCCGAGGAGCGTTTTGCATACACTGATCGGGTCGCAAATTCTGTGCCTTATCTTGTACCCGACATAGCTGTTGACACCGAGCGCGACGGGGAATTGCTCGTAGGAGTGTGGAACAAGATGAACAGTACGTTTAGTGCGGTATGCCTGCAAGCGTTTTCGTCCTTTCGCCCAGAAACTCGTAGGCAGGCTTCAGTATAAATGTTCATGCTCCTACCCATCCCATGCTAGTATGCTGGGGCTCGTTCGTGTGTGCAAAGATCTTAATGTGTCGTCGCTTTCCAAGCGCGTATGTTCACGCGTACACGCACCAGCTTACAGAGTGTGTTTGCTTGCATTTGTATAGGCAGATTTAGTCCTGAAACCTACGTCTTGTATGACATGTACCGAGATGTATACCGCAAAGCCATGCGCAGACTAAGACGCACAGCCAATTATCGATGAGCGAAAAACCAACATGAGAATGTGACACAAACAATCGATCATACGGTGAGTTGCCGGAGCGCGCACCACAAAGCTTTGTGCGATGCTTGTCCATACTGATCACCATCTGCTGAAGAATTAGATCCGAGGAGGAGCTGTGGACGCGGCATCCACTCTTGTTGCGATGTTGAAGTCCGTATGTTGCCTCCGGAAACTGCTCTATAAACAAGGCAAGCACAAGTCCAGAAACGACGCGACCGTGTGGCGTACCGAGGAAACTGAAGAGAAATGGACGGTAAAGTCGACGTGGTGCAGAGAATGGTAAGGAGAAGCGGACGTCTTCAGACTGAGCTGCAAAAACTGGTGCTAATCTCATCGAAGTTCTGCTTGCGGTTCTTCTAGACGTTGCAGTAGTTCACACACCTGCCAAAGACATGGGTCACGCGTGCGGACAAAGTCGTTGCGCCTCAACAATCAGAATCATTGTACCAAGATCGTATACTCACCGGCAAGCCTGACACGGTACGAGCGCAGCTTGCAGGACACTACCAGCACACACTCTCTTAACAACATAACATGGATTTGGTTTGTGACAATTATGGAATATCGTACGCTACTCAGGACAGTACCATAAAGTGCCACCACCAGTAACTTGCGTCTCACAGGTGTACCGCACGAGCAAAATAGTGTCCGGGTTTAGACATCGGACTTGCCGGACTTCACGGGCGGAGTACCCGAGGCCGAATCGGGGCACGGGGTCTTTGGCAACTCTGATTCCTCAGACTTCTGGTCGACAGTAGGCAGTTTGCCGCTGCCATCGGGGCACGGGGTCGTCGGTGAGTCCGATTCCTCAGACTTCTGATCGATCGTAGGCAGCTCCTCACTGTCATCAGTAGGTCCGGAGACGTTTGTTTCACTTCCCAAGGTAACACCACCCGTGACATCACGTTCCGATCCACCCGATACACCACCTCCAACACCACCTCGAACTCCTCCACCAGCACCAACTCCGCCGACAGCACCGATACCAGCTCCACCACCAACATTGCCTCGAGCACCGCCTGATAGACCGCCTCCAATGGCGCCACCAGCACCGCCAGCTGCACCGGCACCGATGCCGCCACCAACTCCAGCATTAACTCCGCCCGCTGCTCCGCCACCGACTGAACCGCCAACGCCGCCTCCAACATGCCCGCCGATGCCGCCTCCGATGCCTCCAATGCCTCCGAGACCGCCTCGCACTCCCCCACTAGCACCAGCACCAACTCCGCCGACAGCACCGATACCAGCTCCACCACCAACATTGCCTCGAGCACCGCCTGATAGACCGCCTCCGATGGCGCCACCAGCACCGCCAGCTGCACCGGCACCGATGCCGCCACCAACTCCAGCATTAACTCCGCCCGCTGCTCCGCCACCGACTGAACCGCCAACGCCGCCTCCAACATGCCCGCCGATGCCGCCTCCGATGCCTCCAATGCCTCCAAGACCGCCTCGCACTCCCCCACTAGCACCAGCACCAACTCCGCCGACAGCACCGATACCAGCTCCACCACCAACATTGCCTCGAGCACCGCCTGATAGACCGCCTCCAATGGCGCCACCAGCACCGCCAGCTGCACCGGCACCGATGCCGCCACCAACTCCAGCATTAACTCCGCCCGCTGCTCCGCCACCGACTGAACCGCCAACGCCACCTCCAACATGCCCGCCGATGCCGCCTCCGATGCCTCCAATGCCTCCAAGACCGCCTCGCACTCCCCCAGTAGCACCAACTTCGCCGATAGCACCGATACCAGCTCCACCACCAACATTGCCTCGAGCACCGCCTGATAGACCGCCTCCAATGGCGCCACCAGCACCGCCAGCTGCACCGGCACCGATGCCGCCACCAACTCCAGCATTAACTCCACCCGCTGCTCCGCCACCGACTGAACCGCCAACGCCGCCTCCAACATGCCCGCCGATGCCGCCTCCGATGCCTCCAATGCCTCCAAGACCGCCTCGCACTCCCCCACTAGCACCAGCACCAACTCCGCCGACAGCACCGATACCAGCTCCACCACCAACATTGCCTCGAGCACCGCCTGATAGACCGCCTCCAATGGCGCCACCAGCACCGCCAGCTGCACCGGCACCGATGCCGCCACCAACTCCAGCATTAACTCCGCCCGCTGCTCCGCCACCGACTGAACCGCCAACGCCGCCTCCAACATGCCCGCCGATGCCGCCTCCGATGCCTCCAATGCCTCCAAGACCGCCTCGCACTCCCCCACCAGCACCAACTCCGCCGACAGCACCGATACCAGCTCCACCACCAACATTGCCTCGAGCACCGCCTGATAGACCGCCTCCGATGGCGCCACCAGCACCGCCAGCTGCACCGGCACCGATGCCGCCACCAACTCCAGCATTAACTCCACCCGCTGCTCCGCCACCGACTGAACCGCCAACGCCCCTCCAACATGCCCGCCGATGCCGCCTCCGATGCCTCCAATGCCTCCAAGACCGCCTCGCACTCCCCCACTAGCACCAGCACCAACTCCGCCGACAGCACCGATACCAGCTCCACCACCAACATTCCTCGAGCACCCCTGATAGACCGCCTCCGATGGCGCCACCAGCACCCCAGCTGCACCGGCACCGATGCCCCACCAACTCCAGCTTAACCCCCCGCGCCCCCACCGACTGAACCGCCAACGCCCCTCCAACATGCCCGCCGATGCCGCCTCCGATGCCTCCAATGCCTCCGAGACCGCCTCGCACTCCCCCACTAGCACCAGCACCAACTCCGCCGACAGCACCGATACCAGCTCCACCACCAACATTGCCTCGAGCACCACCTGATAGACCGCCTCCGATGGCGCCACCAGCACCGCCAGCTACAACAACACCACCTCCACGTACGATAGGACTGTTGTCTCCAGTAGCATCGTTCCGACCGCCCTGAGACGAGCTGAAACTGTGAGAACTGACCGACACGTCGCTATTCCTGCTGGTTGGAGTAGAGGATACAGGTAGGACGCCCGGTCGGTTGCTGTCCGGATTCGAGAGAGGTGCTGAACCCGCTCCGGAAGTGTTCGGTGCAGGTACAGACGTTGAAGCTCCAGCAGAAGCGCTTGGACTCGACGCAGGGGTCACCTTGTCTGGGCCCGTGGTCTTTAGGTCAGCGTCTTTATTCAAAAGACTGCTTTGTTGGGTCTGCTGGCTGTAGCTGCTATAGCTGCCAGCTTCTGCGAGCGACCCCATTACAGCCGCGACGAGTACGAGGTGAGAGATTATCTTGGTAGGGTTCATGTTTTGGACAACAAGACTAGCAGTAGGAGCCAAAAGAATGGAACTTGGACGGGATGGAGCGTAAACAACACTTGACTTTGCTGCTACTGCCGAGCGCAAAGAAAATTGGAAACTGGATGAGTACTGACCCAGGCCTTCTCCGATATTTTGGACCGCCAACGAAGACTGGTCATGCCAACTCGTCCGTCCGCATGTAGACACTGGTCATGCCACCTGTGCACATGTTGACTCGAGACATGCCAGCTGTGTACCGTGGACACTTTCTCTACCTTCGGCATTACAGAAGCACTACTACCCTAATTTCGACACGATTCAATCTTATGCCGCACGCTGTTCGAACATACCAGCTGCAAGCACAGGAGAGACACCGCATCGATCGTGCCAGAAGCGCAGCACAACGACTAGAGCAACCGCATGAGCTGAAACGCAACTCATCACGGCTGACGAACACTCTTCAGAGCGCAAGTGTTGACCAGCCGGCTGTCCCGTAACACACATGGTACAGCAAAAGCTAGATAGACTTCACAGAGGCTTTCGCCGACGAGTAGGACTTCGGGACATGGTAATCCTTGATTATGTTGCGGTCACACACGTGCCCTGGATTTGGATGAGCAAGCTACAACACACAGAGCCACCAGAATGAAACAAGGAAGGACGCGGGGCAGTTTTGACGCGCACCGGTGTACGAATGATCGGTGTCGATGCAGCAAATTTATTTTCGCGGGAGAGATAACTCCTGAGCAGCAAAGCGGACTCGCGTCTGATACAGGTGGTAGGTTTTTTGGAAACTATCAACAGACGCCGGAAATAGCTGAACACGAAAAAACGTTGGGGCACATATGGAGGCATTCTTGCGTGTGGACCTCTTCAGCATCTTATCCCATAGTGAGAAGGTGAGGTATATTCAGGTACGCGAACGACCCGCTGTATCCGGTATCTTATCTTTTCCGATACAAGGTTACGAGACCATCGTCATTTGTGGTGATGCGAAAGAAATTGGATCGCAATGATTAGGCCGCTGAAACAGTTGGATACTGAGTCCTGGGACTGGAATCGTTTTGTACTGAGTCCTGGGACTGCCATTCATGCGTCTAGCCAGCGATGCGGAAATTTATGCATCATGACACGACGCAGCTGGTACATTGTGACCGAAGGTTGGATCAACGACCGTATCTGGCGTCCATACATTCCTAGCTGAATACGTTCGTTTTCCATCAGGCCGCACTAAAACGCACCGGTTCATTGTATTTTCTTCCTGTATGATCTGGTTTAGCTACGAGCGTGCGCACGTCGAGCACTACTCCTGAAGTTGAGGACACACGCGGGCTTCCCATATGATTTGACGATACACTTTTTGGTCAGTATTAGTCCATCACGTTAGGAGCTCGTGTTCGAACCAGAGATGGTGTCCGTTGTACATTAGAGTTTCTACCGTGAGACTTATCGGACACTGCTGCGTGATTAAGTCGTCGCTTAGCGGTTTTGGTGGTGCCTTTCCGTCGAAATAGCTAGAATTTGGCACTCCTGGCAAGATGTGTTGGGTGGCAGCTGGTCACGAGGTAGACGAGTCAGGTAACAACATTTACGAGTGGCGCAATACAACTCCCGTCTATAAACTCGACTATCCGCGCTAGTACCCTCGCAGTTTTCACACGTTGTAGTGTAGACACCCAATCTCTGCGCCGTACGCCGTAGTACTCGTCAAAGCTTGGTTGCCATACTGACACCTTGCTAAGGTTTGCGACTTCACCTGGACAAGTGGGCAGAATTGCCAACACCCCGGCCGTCCACGTGCAGCTGCCATGATCCCGTTGTTAATCGCCTGCAAACGATCTGGTAGCTCATCAGCTTATGTCTTAGCTTACGGCATATTAGCCTCTTTACTGTCTTGAAACTTGTTCTCTGGCCACACTTGCACACGCAGACAGTCGGACATTGTACACCCTGGTGGTGTGCGTCCTCAGATGCTTGTAACTGTGTGATTTTGTACGATTGCGCTCCGTGACTGGCCACGTTCTGACCGCTGTGTTTGTTCGTCGGTAGAGGTCTGGCTGCTTGCGTCTTGGTGTCAGTATAGGACTACCGGGTTATAAATGCGCTGCGGGATTTACGACATCTATGTTGCCCCGCCACCTTCCTGCTGGGAGGTTCACTGAGTGCAGCATAGACTGAGAAGTTTTGGTAGGGATACGAGGCGAGCACTAACTAGCTGCGCACAGGAGTCGTTATACGCGTAAGAAAGAACGATGTGTCGGGAGGTAAAATACTGATATCCCGATAGGACAATTGCTCACAACGTCTTGTTCAGACAGCGGGTGATGCAGAGCATCCACAATTCGGTCAAGTGTCAGTTTGTCTGGACGCCGGGCTGCCAAGCATCTATGACGTCTTCTAAAATCTTTGCTAGCGCGGTTTGTATACGGGACGCGTGTTTGTCAATGTTACTGGGACAAACACGCGCTTGGGCCGGAGAAACGTTTCGCATACACTGATCGGGTCGCAAATTTTGTGCCTTATCTTGTACCCGACATAGCTGTTGACACCGAGCGCGACGAGAAATCGCTCGTAGGAGTGTGGAACAAGATGAACAGTACGTTTAGTGCGGTATGCCTGCAAGCGTTTTCGTCCTTTCGCCCAGAAACTCGTAGGCAGGCTTCAGTATAAATGTTCATGCTCCTACCCATCCCATGCTAGTAAGCTGGGGCTCGTTCGTGTGTGCAAAGATCTTGATGTGTCGTCGCTTTCCAAGCGCGTATGTTCACGCGTACATGCACCAGCTTACAGAGTGTGTTTGCTTGCATTTGTATAGGCAGATTTAGTCCTGAAACCTACGTCTTGTATGACATGTACCGAGATGTATACCGCAAAGCCATGCGCAGACTAAGACGCACAGCCAATTATCGATGAGCGAAAAACCAACGTGAGAATGTGACACAAACAATCGATCATACGGTGAGTTGCCGGAGCGCGCACCACAAAGCTTTGTGCGATGCTTGTCCATACTGATCACCATCTGCTGAAGAATTAGATCCGAGGAGGAGCTGTGGACGCGGCATCCACTCTTGTTGCGATGTTGAAGTCCGTATGTTGCCTCCGGAAACTGCTCTATAAACAAGGCAAGGCACAAGTCCAGAAACGACGCGACCGTGTGGCGTACCGAGGAAACTGAAGAGAAATGGACGGTAAAGTCGACGTGGTGCAGAGAATGGTAAGGAGAAGCGGACGTCTTCAGACTGAGCTGCAAAACTGGTGCTAATCTCATCGAAGTTCTGCTTGCGGTTCTTCTGGACGTTGCAGTAGTTCACACACCTGCCAAAGACATTGGTCACGCGTGCGGACAAAGTCGTTGCGCCTCAACAATCATGATCATCGTACCAAGATCGTATACTCACCGGCAAGCCTGACACGGTACGAGCGCAGCTTGCAGGACACTACCAGCACACACTCTCTTAACAACATAACATGGATTTGGTTTGTGACAATTATGGAATATCGTACGCTACTCAGGACAGTACCATAAAGTGCCACCACCAGTAACTTGCGTCTCACAGGTGTACCGCACGAGCAAAATAGTGTCCGGGTTTAGACATCGGACTTGCCGGACTTCACGGGCGGAGTACCCGAGGCCGAATCAGGGCATGGGGTCTTCGGCAACTCTGATTCCTCAGACTTCTGGTCGACAGTAGGCAGTTTGCCGCTGCCATCGGGGCACGGGGTCGTCGGTGAGTCCGATTCCTCAGACTTCTGATCGATCGTAGGCAGCTCCTCACTGTCATCAGTAGGTCCGGAGACGTTTGTTTCACTTCCCAAGGTATTACCACCCGTAAGATCACGTTCCGATCCACCCGATACACCACCTCCAACACCACCTCGAACTCCCCCACTAGCACCAGCACCAACTCCGCCGACAGCACCGATACCAGCTCCACCACCAACATTGCCTCGAGCACCGCCTGATAGACCGCCTCCAATGGCGCTACCAGCACCGCCAGCTGCACCGGCACCGATGCCGCCACCAACTCCAGCATTAACTCCGCCCGCTGCTCCGCCACCGACTGAACCGCCAACGCCGCCTCCAACATGCCCGCCGATGCCGCCTCCGATGCCTCCAATGCCTCCAAGACCGCCTCGCACTCCCCCACTAGCACCAGCACCAACTCCGCCGACAGCACCGATACCAGCTCCACCACCAACATTGCCTCGAGCACCGCCTGATATACCGCCTCCAATGGCGCCACCAGCACCGCCAGCTGCACCGGCACCGATGCCGCCACCAACTCCAGCATTAACTCCGCCCGCTGCTCCGCCACCAACTGAGCCGCCAACGCCGCCTCCAACATGCCCGCCGATGCCGCCTCCGATGCCTCCAATGCCTCCGAGACCGCCTCGCACTCCCCCACTAGCACCAGCACCAACTCCGCCGACAGCACCGATACCAGCTCCACCACCAACATTGCCTCGAGCACCGCCTGATAGACCGCCTCCGATGGCGCCACCAGCACCGCCAGCTGCACCGGCACCGATGCCGCCACCAACTCCAGCATTAACTCCACCCGCTGCTCCGCCACCGACTGAACCGCCAACGCCGCCTCCAACATGCCCGCCGATGCCGCCTCCGATGCCTCCAATGCCTCCAAGACCGCCTCGCACTCCCCCACTAGCACCAGCACCAACTCCGCCGACAGCACCGATACCAGCTCCACCACCAACATTGCCTCGAGCACCGCCTGATAGACCGCCTCCAATGGCGCCACCAGCACCGCCAGCTGCACCGGCACCGATGCCGCCACCAACTCCAGCATTAACTCCGCCCGCTGCTCCGCCACCGACTGAACCGCCAACGCCGCCTCCAACATGCCCGCCGATGCCGCCTCCGATGCCTCCAATGCCTCCGAGACCGTCTCGCACTCCCCCACTAGCACCAGCACCAACTCCGCCGACAGCACCGATACCAGCTCCACCACCAACATTGCCTCGAGCACCGCCTGATAGACCGCCTCCAATGGCGCCACCAGCACCGCCAGCTGCACCGGCACCGATGCCGCCACCAACTCCAGCATTAACTCCGCCTGCTGCTCCGCCACCGACTGAACCGCCAACGCCGCCTCCAACATGCCCGCCGATGCCGTCTCCGATGCCTCCAATGCCTCCGAGACCGTCTCGCACTCCCCCACTAGCACCAGCACCAACTCCGCCGACAGCACCGATACCAGCTCCACCACCAACATTGCCTCGAGCACCGCCTGATAGACCGCCTCCAATGGCGCCACCAGCACCGCCAGCTGCACCGGCACCGATGCCGCCACCAACTCCAGCATTAACTCCACCCGCTGCTCCGCCACCGACTGAACCGCCAACGCCGCCTCCAACATGCCCGCCGATGCCGCCTCCGATGCCTCCAATGCCTCCGAGACCGCCTCGCACTCCCCCACTAGCACCAGCACCAACTCCGCCGACAGCATCGATACCAGCTCCACCACCAACATTGCCTCGAGCACCGCCTGATAGACCGCCTCCGATGGCGCCATCAGCACCGCCAGCTGCACCGGCACCGATGCCGCCACCAACTCCAGCATTAACTCCACCCGCTGCTCCACCACCGACTGAACCGCCAACGCCACCTCCAACATGCCCGCCGATGCCGCCTCCGTTGCCTCCAATGCCTCCAAGACCGCCTCGCACTCCCCCACTAGCACCAGCACCAACTCCGCCGACAGCACCGATACCAGCTCCACCACCAACATTGCCTCGAGCACCACCTGATAGACCGCCTCCGATGGCGCCACCAGCACCGCCAGCTACAACAACACCACCTCCACGTACGATAGGACTGTTGTCTCCAGTAGCATCGTTCCGACCGCCCTGAGACGAGCTGAAACTGTGAGAACTGACCGACACGTCGCTATTCCTGCTGGTTGGAGTAGAGGATACAGGTAGGACGCCCGGTCGGTTGCTGTCCGGATTCGAGAGAGGTGCTGAACCCGCTCCGGAAGTGTTCGGTGCAGGTACAGACGTTGAAGCTCCAGCAGAAGCGCTTGGACTCGACGCAGGGGTCACCTTGTCTGGGCCCGTGGTCTTTAGGTCAGCGTCTTTATTCGAAAGACTGCTTTGTTGGGTCTGCTGGCTGTAGCTGCTATAGCTGCCAGCTTCTGCGAGCGACCCCATTGCAGCCGCGACGAGTACGAGGTGAGAGATTATCTTGGTAGGGTTCATGTTTTGGACAACAAGACTAGCAGTAGGATGCAGAAGAATGGACCTTGGACGGGATGGAGCGTAAACAACACTTGACTTTGCTGCTACTACCGAGCGCAAAGAAAATTGGAAACTGGATGAGTACTAACCCAGGCCTTCTCCGATATTTTAGACCGCCAACGAAGACTGGTCATGCCAACTCGTCCGTCCGCATGTAGACACTGGTCATGCCACCTGTGCACATGTTGACTCGAGACATGCCAGCTGTGTGCCGTGGACACTTTCTCTACCTTCGGCATTACAGAAGCACTACTACCCTATTTCGACACGATTCAATCTTATGCCGCACGCTGTTCGAACATATCAGCTGCAAGCACAGGAGAAACACCGCATCGATCGTGCCAGAGGCGCAGCACAACGACTAGAGCAACCGCATGAGCTGAAACGCAACTCATCACGGCTGACGAACACTCTTCAGAGCGCAAGTGTTGACCAGCCGGCTGTCCCGTAACACACATGGTACAGCAAAAGCTAGATAGACTTCACAGAGGCTTTCGCCAGCAAACAGGACTTCGGGACATGGTAATCCTTGATTATGTTGCGGTCACACACGTGCCCTGGACTTGGATGAGCAAGCTACAACACACAGAGCCACCGGAATGAAACAAGGAAGGACGCGGGGCAGTTTTGACGCGCACCGGTGTACGAATGATCGGTGTCGATGCAGCAAATTTATTTTCGCGGGAGAGGTAACTCCTGAGCAGCAAAGCGGACACGCGTCTGATACAGGTGGTAGGTTTTTTGGAAACTATCAACAGACGCCGGAAATAGCTGAACACGAAAAAACGTTGGGGCACATATGGAGGCATTCTTGCGTGTGGACCTCTTCAGCATCTTATCCCATAGTGAGAAGGTGAGGTATATTCAGGTACGCGAACGACCCGCTGTATCCGGTATCTTATCTTATCCGATACAAGGTTACGAGACCATCGTCATTTGTGGTGATGCGAAAGAAATTGGATCGCAATGATTAGGCCGCTGAAACAGTTGGATACTGAGTCCTGGGACTGGAATCGTTTTGTACTGAGTTCTGGGACTGCCATTCATGCGTCTAGCCAGCGATGTGGAAATTTATGCATCATGACACGACGCACTGGTACATTGTGACCGAAGCTGGATCGACGACCGTATCTGGCGTCCATACATTCCTAGCTGAATACGTATGTTTTCCATCAGGCCGCACTAAAACGCACCGGTTCATTGTACTTGCTTCCTGTATGATCTGGTTTAGCTACGAGCGTGCGCACGTCGAGCACTACTCCTGAAGTTGAGGACACACGCGGGCTTCCCATATGATTTGACGATACACTTTTTGGTCAGTATTAGTCCATCACGTTAGGAGCTCGTGTTCGAACCAGAGATGGTGTCCGTTGTACATTAGAGTTTCTACCGTGAGACTTATCGGATACTGCTGCGTGATTCAGTCGTCGCTTAGCGGTTTTGGTGGTGCCTTTCCGTCGAAATAGCTAGAATTTGGCACTCCTGGCAAGATGTGTTGGGTGGCAGCTGGTCACGAGGTAGACGAGTCAGGTAACAACATTTACGAGTGGCGCAGTACAACTCCAGTCTATAAACTCGACTATCCGCGCTAGTACCCTCGCAGTTTTCACACGTTGTAGAGTAGGCACCCAATCTCTGCGCCGTACGCCGTAGTACTCGTCAAAGCTTGGTTGCCATACTGACACCTTGCTAAGGTTTGCGACTTCACCTGGACAAGTGGGCAGAATTGCCAACACCCCGGCCGTCCACGTGCAGCTGCCATGATCCCGTTGTTAATCGCCTGCAAACGATCTGGTAGCTCATCAGCTTATGTCTTAGCTTACGGCATATTAGCCTCTTTACTGTCTTGAAACTTGTTCTCTGGCCACACTTGCACACGCAGACAGTCGGACATTGTACACCCTGGTGGTGTGCGTCCTCAGATGCTTGTAACTGTGTGATTTTGTACGATTGCGCTCCGTGACTGGCCACGTTCTGACCGCTGTGTTTGTTCGTCGGTAGAGGTCTGGCTGCTTGCGTCTTGGTGTCAGTATAGGATTACCGGGTTATAAATGCGCTGCGGGATTTACGACATCTATGTTGCCCCGCCACCTTCCTGCTGGGAGGTTCACTGAGTGCAGCATAGACTGAGAAGTTTTGGTAGGGATACGAGGCGAGCACTAACTAGCTGCGCACAGGAGTCGTTATACGCGTAAGAAAGAACGATGTGTCGGGAGGTAAAATACTGATATCCCGATAGGACAATTGCTCACAACGTCTTGTTCAGACAGCGGGTGATGCAGAGCATCCACAATTCGGTCAAGTGTCAGTTTGTCTGGACGCCGGGCTGCCAAGCATCTATGACGTCTTCTAAAATCTTTGCTAGCGCGGTTTGTATACGGGACGCGTGTTTGTCAATGTGACTGGGATAAACATGCGCTTGGGCCCGAGAAGCGTTTCGCATACACTGATCGGGTCGCAAATTTTGTGCCTGATCTTGTACCCGACATAGCTGTTGACACCGAGCGCGACGAGAAATCGCTCGTAGGAGTGTGGAACAAGATGAACAGTACGTTTAGTGCGGTATGCCTGCAAGCGTTTTCGTCCTTTCGCCCAGAAACTCGTAGGCAGGCTTCAGTATAAATGTTCATTGTAACGGGGTTGCACGAAATCATGGTACTTTGTACCAGAGGTGTTACACACCTGAGGGTTCGCTTCTGTGAAGGTGATATAGAATATCTTATCGGTTTGTAGGGGCTGACAAGTGTCAGCCATTAGATACGAAAGATCTTTGAGTAGGATTAAGATATTCTATAGGCTTTAACATTAAATAAAATCAGTTCCCATTTTGATCTGAAAGACGCGTGGCTTGCGAGCCGTCTTGATCGTTGATCTCTGATCACTAAGAGTTAGCAACACCTCCTTGAGGTAGCTACTCTTGAGCACTAAGTGCTGTCGATTCACTGAATCGTTAGGTCCCCTGGAACAGGGATCTGAAGCTGTAAAGCTTGCTGACTCGTAAAGTCGTTAGTTCTTTGGAACTAAGTTGCTCGTAGAGCGTTAAGTCTTCCTCTGACTTAAGGAGCTGTGTAGCTCCGCTACACTTGGTAGCACTAGTAGTCAATCTACGCCTGAGTCTTTAAGACTGATCCTCTGTGAGGATGGAAAGCATCACTCCCCTATCTGAGGCCCAAAAGGTCGCGCTTGACAAGCTGACCGCATCTTTGGGTCCAGAGTACGTGGAGTTTCTTGTTTCACAAGGTCCTGAAGTGCTTAATGCACGTGTTGACGGCTTCATGCAGTATGAAGCGACCCTTTTAGGGCAGGTCCAAGACCAAATAGCGTCGGCTATGCCTACACGCTTCGTGTCTGTACCAGACGAAGAGGCTAAGCCTCGTCCACTTAAAGTGGACGTAAAAACTACTCCGGCAAGGAGGGTGAGAATCTCATCCTCTGGATCCGTGAGATCGAGATGGCCATGAGATCAGGCCTGATCACGCTTGACCATCAACAGGTCTCGCTGGCTATCTCGAAGCTCGATGGTAGAGCTAGAGAATGGGCCTTGACGTGTAGCACGTCGGTGGACATAGCGTTTCCCACATGGGAGTCGCTCAAATCACAATTGGTACAGGTGTTTTCTCCACCTAACCAGGCTTACCGCGTGCGCTCACGCTTTCTTTCTACCCGCCAGGGTAAGAATGAATTATCGGACTATGTCCAAGAGCTGCGAACGCTCATGGCTGCAATGCAGTCTGACCCTCTGCCTGAAGCAGTCCATGTGACTATCTTCATGGAAGGTCTACGTACTGGCATTGCCAGAACCGAGGTTTTTCGGGTTCACCCCTCTACGTTTGAAGAGGCTGTGAGAATTGCTCTTAATGCTGAGCATAATTTCAAGTCGGCCAGACTTGGTTGGAATGGATACAATCCTCGCTCTGTGAGAGCAAACTATTCGGGTACCACTGCCTATAATAGGCCGGAACCGATGGATCTCAGCTATGCTGAAGATGGAGGTGAAGCTGAGCTTCGAGCTGCTGAACAGCAACACGTTGTAAGACGATGCTTTATGTGCGGAAGCACTAAACACTTGCGGCCTGGTTGCCCTTTGCGTAAGCAACGCCAGACTACGAGCCAACACTCGACCCCGAGTCAGAAGTCTGGTGTAACGGGGTTG